GGAAGGTTGTTAGCGTTCTGAAAATATCAGCCACTTTACAAATGAAGAAATGAAATGGCTTGTCCATGAACGCAGCACAAATCTCTTAGTAGGTACAAACATAATCCTGGCTTTCAGAGCCCAAATGCCTTGCCCAGCTTCTTGTTACACATAGCCTTTGATCACACATGGTATGATGTAGATGTTATGAACACTGGATGTCACAGAAATGCCTTCTGCAACCAGTAAGACAAAGAGCATGTGTAATGTGCTGGGGCAGAGAAACAGCAGTAGAAATACATACAGCTGTCAGCAGAAACTAGTGATAGCCTCATGATAGCAGCATTTCATTTTCTTGCATGGCTTCTTTTATAATTCCTTTTACCTCGATTTTCTGAAGGAAAAAGCAAGCTAAATTTGACAACAAAAGAAGGGTTACACCTGGGCTCTGTAGCGCTGTGTATCCTTCATCCTTGTGAATCCTCGCACTTACATGCAAGACAGAGCACTCAGCTGCCATAAAAAGATACGCTTAAAAGTTCCTTTTCCAGATCTACATTCCAATGCACCTCATCAGACATGGACTGGAGTGTTACAGCTTCATGACAGAAGAAAGGCTCCCGCAGCAAACTACAGCCAGAGAGTCCACCCCTGGTGAGTTTTTGAACATGGAGGCCTCTTGCACAGCATATGCCCACAGGCAGTTGTCAAAATGGAAGAGAGTCCGGGTGCTGTGCAGGATGAATATGCAAGGGCAGTCCTTAGCTGAGGAAGGAACAAAGAGACCATCAATTGTGTGAGCCTGAGCTCAGCATCACTCTGCAGGGATTTGTGTCTCTGGATTTCAGAGCCGCTGGAAAAGCCAGCAGAGCACTCCAGAGTTCCTGCTGTACCAGCAACAAGAGCAAATCCAGGGCTAAAATGATCAGACGAAAAAATCTCGGAGAGAGGCAATGTTCTTGTCTGTGTGTTTATACGTGGCCTAGCACAAAGGTTCCCTGGACAAGACCCAAAGATATGACAAATGTGCAAAATAATGAGGAATAGTTATAATCTGGGGTGCTGAGAAACCATAAACAGGTTGAACTTGTTCAGTAATGCCATCAGCCCCATCCTGACAGGCCCGGTCATGCAGTCAGCGTGCTGCTACACGTACTCATGGCTCCTCTCATGTGACAGGCTATCGGCAGCCTAAGGCTGCATCACGATTGACACTTGCTAAATATACACAGATTTTCAAAGCAGGTCAAAAAGGAACCACTTTATGTATATCTACTGCACACCTCCATGCTATTACCCACAATTTCTGGACACGCCTTTTCACCACCCTGAATACAACCTTCTTTGCTACCCTCATTTTGTACGAAATTATTGTTCTGGTAGAGCTAGCAACTTTGCAGGTGTTGATGGGGGCACCTTATTGGTAATATAAAGGTAAGTAACAAAATGGCATTCCTCTAATATCCAGCAGGTGAGAAAAACATCGGTGTGGGCCTCAGTGGGAAGGAAATTCTGCCCCAGCAGCAAGGGGGACTACTGTCAACCGCAGTTGCACTGGGTTCTACTGGGGCTTGGGCTCAGGGGCATCCGGAATGTTTTGGTTGGTTTTGGTCGTTTTGATGTATTCTGTTGCTACCAACTGAAAAAAGTTTCATGAGGGTAACACAGAAGCTAAACGCCAACCTGGGCTACTTACTCTTGTAACCATTCTATTTACTTCTAACTGGGTCAAACCTTATTGCTAGAAAAAGAGAATTTCTGCCATTGGCAGCGACAAGAACAACATCAGGCTCTTGTTGGCTACTTTACACTTGGAATCTGGTGACCCTTGTACTGATGCAATGTGGGAGTAATTCAGCTAAAGACAATAAAGTTACGCCAGGACAAATAAATTAAGTCAGAGTTGTGCACTTCTGGCTCCATCTGGCTTTTTCATAACTGCCCACAGAGAGCAGAACACAAAACTGCAAAGCATGATATTATACATGCATGACATTCGTGGTCAATTAAAGCACAACAGGGACACGTCCTAAAGAGCCTGCTGTCCGGTAGAGGCTTAATACTGCAGGGGATAGGTGAAAAGGGAAGAGACAGAGGTAAGGCTCTGAAGGAGAAGAGGATCTACAGAAAAAAATATTGAAGAATTGTATTAGATTTCTGTAAATTAATGATTGACAGATAGTTAGCTCCATTCTTAGAACAGTTTATGGAAACGGTTCAAAATAGCATGGACATACGCCATATATCCACAAGAATCTGAATAACTAAAAATGGTTTCATTGATTTTTTTTCAGATGTAGTACATTTTCAGAAAGTGTATACAATATATAAATAGAAACTTGCTGGGACTTTTTCAGCAGAACTTTTTTCTATTGGAAAATGCCAGTGTTTGTCAACCATCAAAGCAGTTTGCAAAAAGGAAAAAGTTGGTTTGGGGCAAATCCCTTGTTCTACAAGCTTTATATGGGATTTTTCATTATTTTGCAAAGAAAAAAGTTCCATTTTTAATAGAAAACAGTTTAAAAATCTGTTTTTAAGTAAAAGAATAAAATAAAAAATTGGAATTAAAAAAATTCAGCTATGTATAAACAAAAATTTCAATTTTTCACTTTCAACAAGTATTTCTCTGGCTTGCTGGTTCAAAAAACCACAGTATCAGTCTTTGTCCCAGACTGGGGGAGCTCTAAAGAATATGTAAGCATATGAAATCCATGTAATGTGTCAAATCTTATGTCACAGATTTCCTCTCTGCTCCTACCTTGGCACTTGTCTCCTGCAAATGCGGAGAAACAGGAACAAGTAAGTGTATTATGGTCCTAAAAACTTTGTGGTATGTGGTAATCTCTCCCCCTGTTTTCCGGCTTTGCCCACTTCTGTCATTTTAGATCGCAAAGTACCTAAGACACTTTTTTTTTAACATTTTTTTGTGCAGACTTTTGGACACTGTGCTCTTTTCCTGAGTGGAGTTTCAATAGAGCATTAACAGTGTCCTCTAGACTTTTTTATAGACTCTGTGTGTCTTGCATGCGCAGTCAGACAGGCAGAAGAGCAAGAATGGGGTCAGCAATAAATACTTTCCTTGGCACAGTAAGTAGAGCAAGACTGATCCAAACCCAGGTTTTCAGTTTGGCAATACAGAATACTGACCCTAGGCAACGGCATCTCCTACGTGGAGCACAGTAACTCCCCCATCATCAGTTACATACTCCAGCTGCAGGGTTATAAACCACAATGATGTGCATTCAGAGACTGCTGGGGATATGGTTTTGGCCGCTGAGGGCCATGTGTTGTTCAGTACATCTACAAGTACCAGCAGGCTATGAATGCACACTCCACAGTGGCTTCTTGCCACTGACAATTTAACTGTTCCTCCTTTTCCAGCTCCCCATTCCAATACATCTGCTTGTTCTTCTGCAATCTGGGCACTTCACTTAGTGATGTAAGTGACTCAGGAATACTAACAGGAATAGTTATAATGTCAGTGTAGGGAGTAGAGGTCTTCTCTGCAATTATTCCAGTCACTGAGTTTAGCTCTCTGCCCACTTTTTCAATCCTTGTGTCATAGTATCAGATCTGGTTAATAATATGAATCAGCATGATGGCAGATTCTTATTTTCTAATGCAACTTCTATTGCAACAGTCATTATTACATTCTTAGCAAAGAAGCATTAACCCATGGAAAGATAAGAGTCTATCAACAGGATTGTGAGGTGGAGAAGTATCTTTTGCTGCTGTAAAAATGATTACTACTCCCCACTCATAAAATGTGCAGAAAAGACACCAGATGAGTGTCCGTGCATACCTCAAAAATAAAATACACCTTATGCATTTTGAACAGAGCAACAGGCTGCCATCCAGGAATGGGAATTTAGACGTTGCCTTGTGATTCCCAATGGCTGAAGCACTACTCTCTATTGTCAGAATGATCCTGAGAGACACCAAGCACAGACATTACAAAGCAATGCACCCGAAATACCCTCTCAAAAAGGAGCACTGACAGCTGGCAGAGAGAGACAGGGTACATCCAGCACTCCCGACGTCAGTTCCTTAGAGGCATTTGAAGATCCTCCTTCTTCTCTCTAAATGTTACCAACTTTGTCCTATGTCTGTTTTGAAAGCATAATGATGGGGAGGAAATTCAAACTAGAGATTAGTGGCTGGTGGGAACAAAAGGATGAAAATTATTGCTATGCTTGGGGAAAAAAGTCACGAAATGCAGTTCCTTAGACACGAGAGAAGCCTTTAGCATCTTGACATTTACTGTGCCAGTGTATTTACACTGTCCCCTACTCTTAGGACAAACAACGCTGAGAGCACATAGCAACTTAAACAGCAAGTGGTAGATGGCAACACTACTGCCAGCCAGTGTTGTTTGGTTATTTTTAACTTGTTCACCCTGGTGGTGTGGTATCAGACACTCCTCCTCATGGCACATAGTCCTGCTGATCCCACAAACCAGGGAGGTGAAAGCAGACCTGACTCTCCTTTCATTCACATGGTTTCGAATTGAGGTAGTCAGTGACATTACAAGGTTTTAATACAGGTTACATTTTCTAAGAAAATGAAGGAAGGTCAGTGATCTCACAATACCATGAAAAGACTGGCCGTTACAAGAGAACAAGGATGTTCAGCTTGGGCATGGATTTACTGGGGAGGAGAGGAGCACTTAGCTCTTCTCTCTCCGTTAGCATCAGGAGCAACAACAATGTGTTTGTGCAGCTCCCACAACCACAAAAGGTCTGGATCCAGTTTTGCCAGTTCAGTAAGTAAAGGTCAGTCACACTAAGACACACACGTGAGGAACGGATTTTGTAAAGCTTTTTACAAAAATATGCAATTTACCTCCTTCTCTTTGAACTATGTGGTACAGGTGAACCATATGCAGGATACACTCCAGATCTTGATCTTGGTAGCCTTTCTCATGCATGTCATCCACTGAGTCTGGATAGATGACTTGATCACGCAGCGTTCCAATGGACATGTAGGGCCTGAGAAACAATACCAAGAAACCGGTAATCTGGAGCTGGCTCCAGGCGAGCGCATCTTGCTGATGCTCTATGAGCAGAGTATAATGCTTTAAACACCATGTTGCTAGAACTGGATTTATCTGTGGGTGCATTGTGGGTGAATGTTTTTCTAAACTTACCCTAGGGACAATGTATTGTTTCCATAACAGCTGATTACAGGGTAGCAACAGGGGTAGTATTAGCATGAAAACAAAATGACAGATCAAGTAGAATAAACATCCACTTCATAGCCCATTCTGAATGCTTTCACTTAGAATCAGGGAAACTCTATGCTGTATTCAAGGTTTGGTATGCTTAGAGATTTAGAAATCGAATTACACACTCACGTTAAAAGTGAATTGCAACAAAAAAATTGCAGTTCAAACTGCAAAAGACTTCCATGGTGCAGAAGAGATACCCAAGTCAGGCAGGAGAGCACTGAGAGCCTCTTTTGCACACTGCTATTCTGGACTGCAGAATTGGGCCTGGGAGTAACTTAGCTGGCTCTAGAAGCCAGTGTAACACTTCTGAATTGCAAAAAGGCATACATTAGAGAAGTTGATCAGCTTAAACCTCCCAGCATCAGCCTCCGTTTGCCAACACATGGCTGAGCTATATGTGAAGCAGCTTCTGAATCACCACGTTCCCAGACCAGGTAACACCATCCGTCTTACTAAAACGAGCTGTCTCCACTTTGGAGCCAGAGTGGAGCCTCAATCATGGCCATGTCCTGGAATGGCTATGGACAGTCTCCACAATGTCATGAGCTGTGCCCAGCCTCTGGTACAGCCCAGGCCCCAAAAATCCTCCTAGTCTCTAAACAATGTCAGCTCAAAGAACAGCTTTACAGCTCTCTGAAAGATACCAGGCCATTCAGGCTAGGATAGCAAGGGCAATCTAAACCACATCTATTTGGCCATCTCTTTTGCTGCTTTTGTTCTAAGGGTCTCTTGCAAAGGACAAATATCCATCCTGTCCCACAGACACTGCTGATAGCTCTTGGAAGCTGGAAACACCCCGGCAATGATCTGTGAGATTCTGAGTTTGGAAGGGAAGGCCAGAGCCAAAGAACAGTCAGGCTCCAGACTCTGTCCTGCTTTCTGTGCCAAGAGCTACGCTAACTCCCTCTGGGTTCATCTGCCAAAACAATGCTAGTCTTATTAAAGCTGTGGTGCCAGGGAATGATGACAGAGAGGAGCAGTTAAAATCGGGCCAGCAACGAGGAGGCTTCCAGGCAGCTTGCCACTGAGAACTGCTTCCGACAACTTCACAGCGCGTTGACGAGGGGTCAGTTTTCTTCCCTGAAGAGCTCTGGACCTGTGAGGTGGGAAGGTCTCAGCCATGCAGAGGCTTTCCCTGACACAGATGTGTAATACCTTAGCAGATTTCTTCCTTCCCTTGGAGGTGCCTCTGCAGAAGGGGTGGATCTACCCATTGTTATTCTGAGCGTCCCTAAAATACACCACAGAGTAATTCCTTCAAATTAGATGCTACAGATGTAGAATTACAGAACTAAAGCTGCAACATGAACTGAAAGTCACATTCAAGCTGGCATCAGCTGCATTGGTTTTAGTGCTGCAGACATCCATGGTGAACTGTCTGTACCCACCGTAGTTACACTACTTTCACCACCAGCTGGGTGAGGGTGGGAAGGGCAGGGGATCTGAACTGCTCACAAATATTCGGTCATCTCCCTGCTGTGGGCAGACACCCAGATGAAGCAAAACCAGAATCACAAGTCAAATACAAGCATTGCTGCTCCTCTTTGCTTACTGTTCTGCTTTGTGCTTACCGTGGGAAGAGTGCCGCTCTGGGCTGCTGCATGAACACTAGCATCAAGTGCAGTGAACCATTTACATTAATGGCGATATTGCAAAATGTCAACTCTAAAAATTATGTAACTTCATGAAGTAATGATATATTACATTTCCATAGTGCTCTCCATCTAAAATCCAAAAGGGCTTTACTTCTTGCATATGTGGAAATCACTTCACTTCCTCCCCCCACCTCTGGGACAGAAGACAGCAACTCCACCTGGGCTCAGAAAAGTTGAGATCAGGTTGTGCATAAGACTGTGTAATTTAGGTGAAGCTGCAGGTAAGGGCAAGGAGGACAGAGTTACCTGTCATATAATTTGTCTGGGGCTTAATACCTTACTCTTGTGAAGTTTGATCCATGTAATGACTAGCAGCTCTCAGATTTAACCTACAGCAAAACCAGGAAGGCAATGCTCAAAAGCACCGCGCCAGGACACTTGTTGCCATGCTGTTTATTGAGTCACCAGCACCACATCCTGGTACAACTGGATTTTCCTTGTGGCCTCCCATCTAAACACACCAGTACCGCCAAGCATGCCTCTCCCCACCTAGTTTGTAAAAATTAAAGAAAAGCCCAGCCTGGAGTGGAATAGCAAACCTTGTCAATTACTGACTAACTAGCAGAGAGGAAGAATGGCTTATGGTTACGGGTCTGTCCCAGAACATGGGAGAGCACATTCTGCTTCCCCCATCCTACAGGGAGCCACTCATGTCCCTGAGGGGACACTTCATCTTGCTTGGCATGAGATGTCTCGTTTGGGGCTCCAACTCTTGACAACAAAGAGAGGCACCTCTGTGGTTGGTTTATCCCATTTATTTTAGGGTGGGGATGGATTGCCTCCTGGGGGTGTCTTCTCCCTCAGTGGGGGACAGAGCCCAGACAACTAACTCAGATAACTAACTTCTAAAGTGCTAAAGTTAGATGAGATCTCATCTAACTCATACTCTTATAATCTCATACTAAACCAGATTTCTCTATCTGTAACTTGAAGACAATAACCTCCTTACCCACCATGGGTGCCACAACGTCAAACACACTAAAACCTGTTAAACATCAGCTGTTAATGTAATTGAGGTTACATGTGTGTGATAGCTAGACATTAAGTAGTAAGAAGTAACTGGATACAGCAACAATTTTGGCTTTACCAGGAAGCTCCTTGTTAAAATACTGTTTTCATTAAATTTTTAGCAGTTCAAACTTTTTGTCCTGAAGTAATACTCAAGTTTAACTGGACTTAATTGATTTCTGATGGAGTTTTTCCTTTCAGCCAGAGCATCTGGGTTCCAGTCTCAAAGAAAGCACTCTTACAGACTCCGAAAGCAACTCCTCTGCCATGCAGAGGTCATGTCTTTGACGGTAATAGCTCTGCAATTGTTTTCTTTTTTTCTCTGCTCTCTGAAAAAAGATTCCTACACTGTTTTTGAGGGACAGAATTTAAGATCAGTAATGCTTTTTTAAAGCTTTGGTATCAAACCTCCAGAAAGCTAAACTAACTTACTGATTCTTGCCTGGTTTTCTGGAATTTCAAGGCATTTATTGGAAGAGACACTTTTGGTTCTCATAAACTGATCTTTTTTCAGTCAGTTTGATGGTTTTATTGCATCACCAATTTCTGTTTGCTGCACTTAGCACTTCACTTTGCACAGTTGTAATTTCATTCTGCTAGCCATCATCCCTAAGGCTTACGGCTTCCCCCTTGCAGTGCAGGCTTTAAAGAAACACGATACCAAGATTTGCTGCAATCTGAAGCCTGTGGTATGGACAATTCCCCAGTGCCCTATTGACACATGACATTGTGTACAATGTTGGCAAAATATTAGAGAAATCATTTGGGGAGGAAGGGGAAGTGTTGCCGATGACATGGTCTCTTTATTGCGGATAGCTTTGGGGAGGGAGAAGGGGACAGGTGCTACACAACATACTGGAGTACGTACCAGCCACTTGTCTTTCCAAACAGAGGACTTACACACTGGAGCTGTTAGGCATAAAGAATGAGATATAACGCCAATTCAAAGGGATTGTAGATTAACACTGCACACTGTAACCAGGCAGTACTAACATCTAGCAATTCTCTGATGTCTTGAAGAGCAGAGGGCTTCACTCTTTTGGGTAGCAAGTTAAGGAAGATGACTTGCTCAGATGTCACAAAATTTCTGTTCCAAAATCAGAACAAGCCATATCCATTTGAAATGTTTACAAATAATTCCTGAATGTATTCAAAGGTGTTTACTTCTTCCATGCAAAATAAACTGTGCTGACAGAACGGATAACCTGTTCTGACATCCATAATATTATTTTAAAGAATTATAGCAACTAATCAATATGCACTTTGAGAGTTTATAAAGCAATCTGAATGGTCAGAGTCTTAATTATAAGCACCCTGGAATAAGAAAAGGACTAAAAATATATCTTAATTAAGTGGCTGGCATCAGAAGTTAAGGGATGTTAGTAAGCACCCAAGGAACTGCTTCCAGGTATAGTTTGAAGCTCACCTCGCCTTCTTTGGCATAAGCTGTGATTAACACTTCCTCCATGGAAGGTAGAGTCTAAAAAGATGTGGCTTGTGATTCTGGAAACCATCTGCATGCCCCCGACTGAGCAATCAGGACCTGACTTACCATTTGCTGTCCAAGTGTGTTTGCGGTTATTATTGCACTATTCTCACAGATATGCAAAGCTATGTGGGAAAATTATGTGTAATGCAACTATAAACTCTTGACTGACCCATCTTTTAAGTTTCTGTCTCTGGCTGACAAGGTGCCACACTCTGTAATACACCCAAGTAAGAGAGAGAAAGGGGAACACTACACCTGAGATTCTCCTTTTCATATAAATTGCACCTTGGATTTTCAAAGGAGATTGGGATGGCTTCAGAGTGCAATTCAGAGTGCTTGCTTTGACATCTAAAAGAAAATGTATTCCAAATGTAGGCACCTGTATTCAAAAAGATGATACTGGAGCCCAAGCTCCAGCCATGGAGGTATCTTCCTAGGAAACTTGGAAGATCTTAAGGAGTCAGTGCCTGCACTGAAGAATCTCCAGTCCAGAAAGCCAAGGGCACAGCTCACACCTACAGCTGTGCCCCAATGCTGTCTAATTCCTCAGAAGGTCTAGTACAGCATGGAATATGAAAGCAACAGTTTTAAGTCCAGCACAAAACCCTG